CCCTGGCCATAGCATTTTAATTCCTACCAGCAGTTGCATGAAAATTCCAATTTCTTCTTCACCAACACTTCTTATCTGTCTTTTTGTATATAGTCATCAAAGTGGGTAAGAAGTAGTATATATTTGCAATTCCTTGATGACTAATGATGTTGAGCATCTTTATGTGCTTATTAGCTGTTTGTATATATTCTTTGGAGAGATGTCTATTCAGAACCTTTGCTTAATTTTAAGTTGGGTTATCTGTCTTTTTATTGTTATTGTAAGAGTTCTTTATATACTCTAGATATAAGTCCCTTACTGATATATGATTTGCAAGAGTTTTCTTCCACTTTTGGGTTGTCTTTTCATTTTTTTTTTTTTTTTTTTGGAGTCAGAGTCTCACTGTTAGCCAGGCTGGAGTGCAGTGGCACAACCACAGCTCACTGCAGCTTCTACCTCCTGGGTTCAGGCGATTCTTCCCCCTCAGCCTCCTGAGTAGCTGGGGCTTCAGGTGTGAGCAACTACACCCAGCATTTTTTTTTTTTTGAGTCAGAGTCTCACTCTGTCACCCATGCGGGAGTGCAGTGGCATACTCATGGCTACCACAATCTCGACCTGCTGGGCTCAGGTGATCCTTCTGCCTCTGCCTTCCAAGTAGCTGGAACTACAGGTATGTGCCACCACACCTGGCTAATTTTTTTGATTTATTTTAGAGAAGGTCTTGCCAAGTTGCCCAGTCTGGTCTCAAACCCCTGAGTTCAGGCAGTCCTCTCGCCTTTGCCTCCCAAAGTGATGGGATTACAGGCATGAGTCTCCACACCTGGCTAGTTTTCCCTTTTTTTTTTTTTTTGAGTTGGAGTCTCACTGTCACCCAGACTGGAGTGCAGTGGCCGCTTCTGGCCACTGCAGCCTCGACCTGCTGGGCTCTGGTGATCCTTCCGCCTCAGCCTTCTAAGTAGCTGGAACTACAGGTGCGTGCTACCACGCTCGGCTAATTTTTTGATTTATTGTAGAGATGAGGTCTCGCCTGCCCAGGCAGGTACCGAACCCGTGGGCTCAGGCAATCCACTCACGTCAACCTCCCAAAGGCGCGGGATTACACGCTGAGCCACCGAGCCCGGCTAGTTTTTCCATTTTTGATGGTGTCTTCAAAGCACAAAACTTTTTAATTTTGATGAAGTCCCGTTTTAAAAATTTTGTTTTGCTGCTTATGCTTTTGGTATCATGAATCAGAAATCATTGTCTAATTGGAGGCCATGAAGATTTACGCCTTTATTTTCTTCCAA